GTCTTCGCTAACAGCGGTGGCTCTTCCATCCCAAGGACCAGCCCATAGATTTCCACTGCTCTCCTCTCCTCTGCCACATCTATTCATCTCCGCCCCCTGCCTTTGATCCCCAGAGATAGAGCAGGGCTTCACTAGCAGCGGTTGCTCTTCCATCCCAAGGACTGGCCCATAGATTTCCACTGCTCTCCTCTCCTCTGCCACACCTATTCATCTACGCCCCCTGACTTTTATCCCCAGAGCTAGAGTGGGGCTTCGCTAGCAGCGGTGGCTCTTCCATCCCAAGGACCAGCCCATAGATTTCCACTGCTCTCCTTTTCTCTGCCACACCTATTCATCTCCACCCCCTGCCTTTTATCCCCCGAGCTAGGGTGGGGCTTTGCTAGCAGCGATGTCTCTTCTGTCCCAAGGACCGGCCCATAGATTTCCACTGCTCTCCTCTCCTCTGTCACATCTATTCATCTCTGCCCCCTGCCTTTGATCCCCAGAGCTCGAGTGGGGCTTCGCTAGCAGCGGTGGCTCTTCCCGAGGACTGGCCCATAGATTTCCACTGCTCTCCTCTGCCTTCTGCACATCTGAACATCAGGCATTGGGCCCAGCTGTTCCTCCTTTTCCACATCAGCCACCTCCAGACCTGGGGGGCTCTTGACTCTCCCTCTGAGGGCTGACGGACAGCCCAGGGTCCGCCTCTCTCTGTCTCTCTCTGTGCCAGCTCCATCCCCTCTTCCCCCTCAGAGCTCTCAGATTGCCTTGAGGCTGATCCTGACTCCCACGCCCCCTCCTCCTCCTCCTCCTCCTTCCCCCCTCCTACTTGGCTGCTAGAGGGGCCGGGCAGCCGACAGGCCACAGCAGGTATACTCTTGTTGGGTAGATCATCAATCACAGGGGAGACACCAACCATCAGGCATTGCAGTGGGAATGGGACGGATGGACTTCAGGACTCTGTCTGGGCAACTCAGCGGTGGCATCCCCTCCTCATCCCCCCCCCCATTTCCCCTAAAAGCACACGGATGAGGAAACACCTGGGAAGCCACGGGGCAGAGGGATGACGAGGCCAGTCACACCCTGAGGACCGAAACGGATTCTTACCTCAAGGGAGGAAGAGAGAAGAGGGAAACTGAAACTGGCAGAAAAGCCGCTGTTCCTTCTGCCTGTTACCCCTCCTCTCCCTTGTTGGGAGCCTGGTGAGAGAGTCAGGGGGGGGGCAGGAAGGGGGCAGTCGGTGTGTGTGTGTGCCGAGCAGGTCTGGAGAAGAACTGGCCAATCCCTGACCAGAAGGGAATGGGGAAGGGTCTGTCCTCATCCCACCCTCCCCACCCATCCCACCCACAAGAGGTGAAACAAAAAAGGCTGTCCTTAGAAGGGGGGAGATTAGGGGCAGAGGCTGCTTGGGATGGAGATTGGGGGGGGGTCATTGTCTTAGGTGGCAGAGTGCAGTTGGGCAGGCAGGGGGCATCATCTGAACAGGAGCCAGCTTCTCTTCCTTTTTCTCTGCAGGTGGAGGCTGGAGCCCTTTCTCTGCCAAAGACCGAGCCCCTCTCCTCCTCTGGGGTCCCCTCCTTGCTGTGGGGCTCCTTGGACCTCCGGGGTTCCTGTGATTGAACAGCTGGGGAAGGTCTCCCCACCCTTTTCCCGAGGGTGCCAGTCAAGCAGCAGCAGCAGCAGCAGCAGCAGCAGCAGCAGAAGAGGCCGGTTGGCATGGCTTCCGTGGGCCAAGAGGTGGCGCTTCCTTGCTCGATTTTACTAAAGGAGGAGACTTATGGACTTCAACTCCCAGAATTCCCCAGCCAGCCGTGAATGATAGACTTAGAAGGGACCAGAAAGATCCCCCAGTCCAGTGGTTCTCAACCTGGGCATGCTGGCTGGGGAATTCTGGGAGTTGAAGTCCACAGGTCTTAAAGGTGCTGCGGTTGGACACCCCCCGCCCCCCGCTTTAAAGCTTCAAGTGTGCCAATGAGGAAACGGAGAACTGTCTGCCTTCGGAAGAGGCGGCCATGAAAGGCCAGAACTGTTTCTAGAAGAAGCTTCAGGTGATCATCTCCAAAGTGACCGTCCATCACAGTGGCCTTGAAGGGTCACCCAAAGTCTATACGTGAGAACTGATAGGATGTGAGATGTTGGCCAGGTGCCGGTGTGAAGAAGCCCTGGGTCTTCTGGAAGGGTCCCCCAGGGTCACTCTCTCTGGCCACAATTGTGCAATATTTGTATACTCGACCTGGCTACAGAATTAACCCATTTCCCAGGTTTGGAAATTCAAAGAACCCCAAACTAACCAGCCAGCCCGGAATGGGATGGGATGGCACTGGGAAAAGGCAAGCCAAGTTGAAGAGACCTGGTCACTCCCAGGTGTTGTGTGAATCCAACCAGAGATGCCTCAGGGAGACTCACTGGGACGTTTGGGGGTCTCTGAGCTCGGTTGTTTTCTTGCAGACGTTTCGTGACCCAATGAGATAAAATCAGTAGTGTTAAGAAGGTAATAGAAGGTAATAGAAGTATACCGAAGGGAGGAGCTGAGTGAAAGAAGAAGGAGGGTGGAGAGGGTGAGAGAGAGGAGGAGGAGGAGAAGGAAGGGAGGGAATGGATTAGGGAGTGATAGGGTTAGGGTTAGATAGAGGGGGAGGGGAAGTAGGTTTAGGGGGGTATGAGAGAAGGAAGGATGAAAGTTGGAGGGGGATGAAAGAGGGTGTATGGTGGGCTAAGGCGGTATATTGGGTTTGTATTGTAGGGGGCATTTTCTATA